CAGCCCCTGCCCCCCTCCAAAAAACACTCGCCCTCGGCGCTGGCGCCGTGTCCGGAGCCGGGAGCTGCACAGCCCCATCCTCAGCACCCAGAGGGCTGCTCCCGCCTCGGCACGTGGTGGGAAGAGGCAGGAAGGGGAGACCCTGCCCATGTTACAGAGCCCCCCCAGGTGTGTCCTGCTGCCCTGGCGTAAGGGGGCTGCCTGCACCGCAGAGCTCTCCACCCTCACTTCTGCCCTCTAGGCTGCTACTCTTTGGGGATCTACAGAGACAGCAGTCACAGCGGCATGCTGGCAGCCAGCTGTACGTGGCACCAGGCAGTAGTGCAGGGTGGATGCAAGGGCAGAGCATGTCCCTTTCCTCTCTCTACGCTCTCCTTTCTCGTGAACATCATCTCCAGCCCTTCCCACTGCGGTCTCAGTCTCTCTTCTAGGTTTCTGTGGCTGCAAGGATGAAAGCAAATGACTTAGGCGGAGCTGGAACAGCATTTCTCTGTACACCCTAGGCTGCATGGTACCTGTCACTCCGGGCACTTCTGGTGGCTCTGCAGCCCTTCACCCTGCTGCAAGGCCCTCTCTCTGGCACCCTCCCCTCTAGCCTTCTTGGCAGCCTTGGCCTCTTCCCTTGGTCACCCAGCCTGACTGTACGCAGGGAGGGCCCTGCACTGCTGGCGTCAGGAGCTCCTCGCAAACAGCCCTTTGCACAGCGTTCGGAGCAATGAGTGGACCCTGCATGGCTGCAGAGCCCCGGCAAAATGCCAGGCTCCCAGGGCTGGGGTTGCAAGCCTCGCACATGCACCCCCCCCTAACACACACACACTCACATGCCGACGGCCAACTCCATGGCCCCATCCACCCTTGCCCCCTTCACCAGCTGCACAAGGGACTGGTTCTGCCCTCCAGCAGCTAGAATGAGCCCCACCTGCTACACCTCCCACAGCCACCAAAATCACTTACCCCTGGGGCCAAATTGCAGCCAGCCCCGGCAGGCTGACACCCCTCTTTGCATGCCCCAGCTCCCACACTCTGGACCTTGGGGCACCAGGGGTATTTCCCTCTCTACAAGGTGGCCCACCACTGGGCCTGCACCTGCCAGCCCTGCTGGGGGGAAGGCTGGCCCCAGCCAGCCTGCTGGGGCAGGGAGGAGCATTGCAGAGAGGGCATGGCAGGATGGCCAGCTGGGTTAGTGGCAGGCAAGTTCATGCCATGCAGTCGCTTTGCCTCACATGCAGCCTCCCCCCGGACATTACCTCTTCCATAGACTGGCGAGATGGCTTTCTCTTTCGCTTTAAACTACCCCAAGTGTTTCCTAAAAGCCCCTGGCAACGCTTCCAAAAGGTTTTACAGCTTGAGGGTTTAGTGGCAGAGAGCTGAGCATGGGGAGAGAGAGACACAAAGAGAGTTGAGGGAAGAGCAAGGGTAGCCAGCTACAGGGAGGAGAGAGCAGACAAAGAGGGTGCTACAAGCTGGTGCTTAGCCCTCAGGGATCACCCAACATCCAATAGAGCCAAAAGGCTCTCTCATCTTTGTGCTATGACCTGGACAGCTCGCTCAGAAACAGCCTAGATGGATCCCACCCATGGAAGCGATCTGAGAGCCTTCAAGTGCTACGCAGCCGCAGCCACCCGGTTTGCCTGCCATGTGAGGACATCTGCACTGGGACGAAGGTCCCCGCAGCAGCTTCGGAGAGCTGTGGCAGTGGCCAAGGTGGGCACAGGGAGCTCCCGCATGGCCCTGCTGATGCCACGGCCCCCACACAGCTTCACGTACCATCTGCGGAGCCTCCTCCCCAGGCTGTTCTCTGCCCGACGCCAGCTGCGGCTGTTTCTTCTCTCCTTTCTTGCCAATGCTCAGGATCAGGTTGACTGTCCCCCCGAGGCTGCTGGTCCCCCGTGGTGGCAGCAACACCATGGAGGTCTCAGAGGGATCCCAGACAAAACCCTCCTCCGCAGGGGGTCCCGTGCCATGGGGCACCGAGCTGCCAGGCTCCAGTCCCAATAGGGCATCAGAGAGGGGTGATGCTGGAGGGGAGATGGCTGTTTCTTCTAGCACCCGCAGCTGCAGCTCTGATCCTTGTGCAGATTCAGAGAGGGAGCAGGGTGCAAGCCCTTTCAGGCTGAGCATGCTCTCCGCACAGGACTGAACGCATGGGACACACTTCTCCTGGGGAGCAAGACGAGAGAGGGAATGCAAAGGCTGGAGGAGAGGATTGTTCCAGGGTCCCCAAGCAATGTCCAAGGCTCGCAGCCCCCGCTCATGCTCCCAGGGAGGCCCTCAGAGGAAAACAGAGGCATGGAGATTGCCCAAACTCCTTCTTGGAGGCAGGAAGCCCAGACCTGGCAGCTCAGGCACTTTCTCTGGTCAGTCTTCCCTGCCTGTCCCATCTGAACCTGAGAGTCTCAGGGGTGTTACCCCCAAGCTGTGACAAGTCCCTCCCCTACTTCCATGTCACCTGTTCCATTTGGTGCCTTTGGCACCCTCAGCCTCGGCTTCTTGAGGCAGGTCCTCCCACTCCCCAACAGTCACCATACAGCCAGGTACTCACCCTCGCATCCAAGGGATTTTCAGAGTTCTTTCTGTCCTCTAGCTTGGTCCCAGGGTCCCGCTGGTGTTTCTGTGCTCGCCAACGTACCAGCACCCAGCCCAGCATGCTCTGCAGCTCCTCCATGCGCTCCTTTATCTGAGAGCAGGGAGGAGAGATGGTGGGCAGTCCGCAAGGACACTCTGCATGGACTCTCAGCCTCAGTTCAGGGACGCGGACCCTATGAGGACACCTCCTACCAGGTGTTTGAGACCAGGGCTCGGTCAGAAAGATGTTTTGACCATTACTGGATGCAACTGACTTTCTCCCAGTCACAGGGTGACCCTGCCACCTGAGAAGCTCGGATGAGGGTCTCGGAGCTAAGGCGGAGCTATAGCCTTCAGCTATGGTGGAAGTGCAGCTGGCTCTGGCCAGCTTGTCGGGGTTTTGTGCCCACAGCTTTCTCTCTCCTCCAGGGACCAGCCCCAGAGGGTTTCAGTGAGCTGCTGAGAAATGGGCCCCCACCCTTGCAAGGGGCCCAGGCTCCCTGCTACTTACCGTCTCACTCAGATAGTGCTCCTCAGACACCAACGTCTGCCCCGCTGCCGCCAGCTCCTCAAACTCCTTCAACTTGCCTTCAATCTTCCTCTCCAGTTCCTCACACTGAGTGTCCAAAAAGCCATGGCTGCCTGGGCTTTCTGAGAAGATCTGAGCCCGCGTGTCCTCTGTCCAGGAGCTGAGGGCACAGGAAGGGCAGGCGTAAGAACGACCCAGCTCATTCTTAGCCCTACAGGGTCCCAGGGAAGCAATTCCCAACCAGCCTCAGGCGGAGCCCTCATCTTCCAGGGGGACATGGCTCTCCACTAGTACCAAGGACCCCCGAAGCTGCCCTTCAGCCCCGGCAGCTGTACAGGATCCCAGGCCCACCCTGCCATCCCCTCCCTTGGCTGAACGAAGAACAGAGCTGCCAGCGCACAAGGGCAATGAGATGCGTTGCCTTTGCAAACGATACGTTACGCTATCTACCCTGATACTTTTAATAAGGACTTGGCTCTTACTAGAAGCGGCCCCCTGCCTTCCGAAGCTGCATGGTGCCCTTGGTAAAGGTGGCTGTTATTTGCCAGAATCTGGTGCAAAACAAGCAGGCTGCCCCCAGTAAAGGGGGTCACCATCTCTCAATCAGCCACCTTGATCATTGAGATCTCCAGTTTGAAAACAGGAACTGGGAGTGGGGCAGAGAAAGACAGCGTGAAGGATAAGAGCCTAACAGGAGTGAAATACAGGAGGAGGGGGCAGGTGCACGCAGGGAAAAGAGAGCAAAGGGAAAAGTGAATGCAGCTGGATGGAGGCTCTGCAAACCTGGCAGGGCAAAGGCTGGGCTGGCAGAGACGGGTCAGCTGGGAGCACAGTCCCCATGGGGACATCCCAGGCAGGCTCAGGAGTACGATGTGTGTGTGTGTGTGGAGGGGGTGTATGTGTGTGGATGCACAGGAGAGCGTGTTGAAGCACTAATCTCCTTTGGCGCAGCAGTCAGAAATCATCAGAAGGTGTGTGAAAACTGCTGCGACTACCGTTTGTCTTCAGCCTTCAGAAATCCTTAAGACAGCTTGGTGATCTGGTGGCCCACAGTGGGTCGGGGCCCCACAGCAGGCTCTTCTGTCTGCGCAGTCCCAACGCACCCCTTCGTTTCAGGTTACAAATGGTCCCTGCCTGGTTTCTGCTCTGCCACCTGCCCACGGACTTGTGAACAGCCCAAGCTCTGCGAATGTCGCAGTCTCACCAGCTCCCCCCTCAGAGCTAGCACGGCAAAGGCAACTCGGACTGCTCGTCATCACTTACATCATGGCTAAATAATCCTTGAAGAACTGCCGCAGCCGGCCAGCCTGTTGCACGTGGGCCTTGTTCTCTCTTAGCAGCTTCTGCAGTCCTTCCCAGGCCTGCAGGGCTCCCTGCACCTCTGGGCCGATGGTGCGCATCCGAGCAGGGCAGAGCTTTTCCAAGCGGGCAGCAGCCCTCTCCAGCTCCTCCAGCTGCCCCTGCAGGGTCTCTGTCACCGCGCACTAAGATCACAAGGCAAAAAAGGTTAGGACACTTAGAGCGATGTGGCAAGGCATAGCTGACTCCTTTTTCCTATCCTGCCTGAGGATGGGACACACTTTACCTGCTGATCAAGACACATCCAACCCATCCCATTTCCTTCTGCATGATAAGGTCAGGAAAAGCACTAACCCTTCATGGCAAGACTCCTCTGTGCCCCAGGGTGCAGGAGATGGAAGGAATACGCTGGAGGGGAGCTCAGGGCTACTGTGGCACATGGGGGATCCAGGCTGCGGGGAGCAGGAAGAGCCGTGCTCCATGGGGATAATGGGCAACACGAAGGGCTGCGGGAGTGCAGAGGAACATGTTTTCTCCACACACCAGCCTGCTCTGCCCGTGTGAGTCACCTCCCCGCCGATGGAAAGATGAGCGAGGTGTTGGCAGCCTGGCGCTGGCACACGGGAGCTGACGCAATCTCTCTCTCCTTCCTTGGCCCAGGCTGGCGGGGGGGAGCGGGGCTGGGCTCAGCTCGGCTGGAAAATTCCAGCCCAGCCTTCCGCGGCGGGCCAAAGCTTACGACACCTGGGCCCCTGGGGGCCAGCACCTCCCCAGGACAGTCCCGTCCAGCTGGGACACTTCCACACCACGTCCCCTGCCACGCGCCGAGCGGACAGGGCGCCTCCCAGCTCCCTGGTCTCACCTCCATCTCCTGTTGCCGACTCAGCAAGCCCTGCAGCCCCTGGAGGTCTTTCTCGCTCTTCACCACGGCAAAATCGTTCTCCGCTTGGGCAGTATCTCGAGCCAGGGCTTCGGCTCTGCATCGGATGGCCTCCAGGCATGGGGACACCTCTGCCAGCTGAATGGGTGGAAAGAGAAAGATGAGCCCCAAGGCGGGGGCCCCAGTGCCACAACTCGTGCTCCTCAGCCTTGTGGTGCAGCTCACGCTCAGCACAGCCACGCTGCACCCTGCTGCAGGGCAGGGAGCACCAGCCACAGCAGGGAGGAGGATACCCTCCTTGTGCAGAGCAGGCCATGGCTGTCCTGGCTCCCTCGTGTCCCACTGGGACAGGCCCAGCTGTGCTCCCTGTTCTGGCGAGGTGGTATGGCCAGCCCTGGACGAGCCACCCCGATCGCATCCCCAGGTCCAGCCCTTACCAGACGCTCCAGGCTTTCCATCTCCGCCGCTGCCTCCACAACACGCTCTCGCTCCTTCACTGCATCGTTCAGCATCTCCACAGCCTCCTGCAGCTGTCCCAAGGGGCTGCTCATGTCCTCGCTGCATGACAGTTGCCTTGCTGGGGCCGAGAGCAGGGGCAAAGACCCCTGCGAGTGACGATGCCCACTCCCTGGCTGAAGCCAACAGAGATACCAGGCGTGAGGGAGAGGGCGAGCAACTGCCTAAAATGGCTGGGCTGGAGGGGGGACCCGCAGGGTCAGAGATCGACCCTTGGGTTGGTCCCAGCTGCAACACGCTGGTGGCAGTGGCACCAGACCCAAGTGCCCACTGCAGTAAGGTGAGGGGAGACCCGAGAGACAAACAGGCAGTGCCCGGCAATGCCGAGGGGTGCGAGGCCCGGTCCCGCAGCTCACCGGAGCGGGTTGGTGCCGGCTGCGTGCCTCCTCCTCCTCTTGCACGTTCTGCAGGAACTCGGAGAGCACCAGGGAGTCGCGCAGGTCTGCAGCCCGGCGCCGCAGGGCTGTCTGCACGCGCGCCAGCCTGCCGGGGCACAGGCGTCACCCAGGTCCCGCTCAGGCACCGGCACCGCACGGCTGCCCCTCGCAGGGGACATCCTCCTCCTCCCTGCCCTCTCCCGAGGCCTAAGGGGGATGAGAGAGAAGGGAGCTTCTCCCAGGACTCACTTTTCCTCCACCATCTCCACTTTCTTCTGCATCTTTCTCGCTGCTTCGTGCTCTGTAGCAGGCTCATCCGCCACCTCCTCCCGCAGGGCCTGGAGTCTGAGGCCACAAACCACGAGCCGCCTCTCCAGCTGCCCCGCCTCCTCCCGGTCCCTGC